GACCCCTCGGTGCATTCATCAACATCTGGGGAGCAGAGAGGAGATGAGGTTGGGGGGACAGGGAAGGGACACCAGGTGCCCCTTGCCATCCTCATGAGCCCCTTGAGAAGGGTCCGTACCAATGCAGAACAGCTGCCCAGGGTCCAGGATGAATCCCAGTGGGCACTGGTCTCCATCAGCCCCTGGGAATTGAGCAGAGAGAATGAGAAAGGACATGTCACCGCAGGGATGTGGCCTTGGCACCCTCACAGTCACCCAGGACTGAAAGGGATCCTGGCATCTCCATGCCCTTCCCTGAAACTCCCCTTGTTACCTGCATTGAGTGAGGCTTGGAGCTGGAAGCGAAGCTCCTCTGTGACCGGGTCGTAGGAGGCTGTGATGGTGCTGGCTCGAAGGTGCTGAACCCGGGATGGCTGTGGGCTCACAGCAGGGTCATACATGATGGTGTGGTTGCAGTGGGCACGGGTGATGTGCCCATCCTGCAGGAAACTCTGCACCGAGCCCCCGGAGAGCTGCCCTGTGCCCGTCTGCACGTAGCGCTCACTGAAGTCCTGGGAACAAGCAGAGAGAGGAGTCAGGCCATGGACCCTCCCAGGCTCCAGCCACAGGAGTCATGGCCCCGTGGGGAGAACAAGCAGCACCAGCACCTGCACTGCAGCCTTGTCGATGCTCTCTGGCACAGAGCCACTGATCACACTGTCCAGTTGCAGAGCACCAGTGGCATCCACGCCCCGGGAGAGGTGGGTGACTCGCAGCAGCTCCCCTGGCAGGGAGGAGCAGTGAGCAGCAGCACATGGCACCTCCAAACACAGCTCCATATCCTCCAGACCAGGGATGGTACATGGGGGAGATGGAGTCTGAGTTTTCCCCAGGGGCTAACCAGGTTCCACATGCCAGGGGCTGCTGGAATCTCTCACCTGTGGCAAACTCCAGCTGTGACTCATGCTGGAAGGTGCCCTGGGTGAGAAGGAATCCACTCTGGGCTGCCCCACGGGTGCGTGCCAAGGACCAGTAAATGGGGGCAATAATGGTGACCAGCACCCGCATCAGTGGCCCTGAGGACAGGGAAGAACTGGTGTCACCACGGAGCCAGTATCCTCCTAAGGGGGCACCCAGCTTGCTTCAGCCCCCCTCACCCACAGGACACAGATGTGGGTGCTGCATTTGGGGAAAAAAGGGAGGGATCTTTCCCCTAATGTTTACACCTGACACAGGTCAAAACCCTCTCAAGGGTGAGGGCAGAGGTGACCACACACCTATGGCAGGTGGGATGCTGCTGATGCTGCTCTGGATGGTGGTGGTGCCAGTCTGTGGGTCATCCATCACGCTGGCATCAAGGGTGGAGACACCAAGCTCATGGGCATTGATGACACCGATCAGGCTGCCCCGCACCCGGTGTGGCTCCCCTGGGGCAAAAAGGAGAGGATCAGGCAGCAGCATAGGGGCTGTGCTCCTGTGAGAAAGCTGGTTGCTTCCCTGACTCCCCCTCTCAGTAATTTGTGTGTCAAGAAAATCTTGTTTTCTGGAGATGAAGACATCTGAAGTCAGGCAGTGTCCCTGCCTGGCTGCAAGCATGGTCCCCAGAGACCCCATAGCTCTGTGCCACGTTGATAAGGAATGTTGTGAGTGTGGCCCTGTGCCTCATCACACCAACATGCACTGACACCCCCAAACCCTTCTCTCTATCAACCCCCACAGTCCTGGCAGTGGCCCCAGGCTTTTATTTGCTTCCCCATCATGCCTGGCAGCAAAATGCCAGCAGCCACACAGGGACACCTGGCAATTCCTCCAGCCAGCCTGGCCCTCTGCTCCCGAGGGGCAGCGGGAGAGGATGTGCCTGTGCATTCAGAGAGCCCCTGAGAGATGGGAATTTAATCACTGGCACAAATGCAGGAAGGCCAAGTAGAGGCAATCGTGGGCTGGCATGCGAGTGAGGGTCTGTTTGTGCTCAGACCTTCAGCTGAGCAGTGGAAGAAAGGGCAAACTAAAGTATGAATTGTGGTGTTTAGAGCAAGCAAGGAAAGGCAATATCCCTCCAAACCACCATGCTGGAGATCTTAACCTGGGGCACAATGACACTGTGAGCAGCCCCAGCCCTCCAAGCAAGCTAGAATCCCCTGAGCCCTGGGGAGATACCCACCTTGGACATCCAGAGAGGCATGGGCGACAGCAGAGCCCAGGGCATTGCGAGCGAGGCAGGAGTAGCTGCCAGTGTCATGGTGGGCAACAGCAGGCAGAAGCAGGGTGGCATTGGGCAGGACACGGGCGTGGGGACCCTCAGGCAGTGGTTCCCCATCTCGTTGCCACTCCACAGAGGGGGTGGGCTCTCCTGACACGGTGCAGTGCAGCAGCACCTGCTGCCCAGCATGTGCTGCCACCACTCCTGGTGTCACCCTCACCACGGGGGCACCTAGGCAGAGAAAGGGATACAGTCAGTGCCACAGCATCCCTGCAGTTCTGGGACCATTTCCCAGGGGTCGGAGATGGTCAGGGGAACCGAGGGGTGACATGGTTTGCAGGCACTTTCAAGGAGGGTGCAAAGGTGGGTGGAACTCACTCTGCAGAGCCAGGGTGACAACTTTCACTGCTGTGCCTGCATCATTTTCTGCCACACACCGGTAGTGCCCTGCGTCAGTGCCCTGGCAGGACCAACAGCATTAGCACAGCATTTTGCCTGGCCACATCAGCTTCCTGAAATGTGCCAGCACCCTCCAAGCCCCACTCACCACCACAGCATGGATGGCCAGGGATCCATTCTGCAGCTGGTGCAGGCGCCCACTGGCCACAACTGGTACCCCATCCTTGCTCCAGCGGATGAGGGGCACAGGATAACCCTGGGCATCGCAGTCAAGGAGAGCATCACCTCCGGGGAGCTCCACCTGGTAGGTGCTGGGGTCGCCCTGTATGGTGGGTGCCTCTGGGAAAGGGAGAGGGATGGCAGAGGAGAGGGGCTGGCCAGGAACCCCAGTTTCCCTACTGGCACCTACCTCTGACAGAAACAAAGGCAGTAGCCCTGATGGCACCAGCGCTGTTCTCAGCATGGCAGACGTAGGTCCCACTGTCAGCAAGGGTAGCTGCCTCCCGTCGCAGGATGCTCTGGCCACTCTGCCATGATACACCATCTGCAGGGTACAAACCCCCCAAAAATATGGTTGGGGACCAGCTGATTAGAATCCCACAGAGCCAGACATGCTGGCACCCCTAGAACCCCAAAAGGTGGAAAGAGGACTGGGATGGCACCAGGATCATGTTCTCCCCCAAGTTCAGCACCCTCTGCCCCTGCTCAGGTACCAGTGGTGAGCTGCCCATTGGCCACCCAGGAGATGTGGGGCTGGGGGCTGCCCACGGCAGCACATGCCAGCTCCAGCCTCTCGCCCTGGCTCAGGGTGATGTCTCCAGGCAGGCGGCTGAAGGTCGGCAGGGTGTGGATGGAGAGGAAGAGCCGACGGACTGCCTTCCCAGCCGAGTTCACTGCCGTGCAGGAGTAGCTCCCAGCATCCCCTTCCTGTACCGGGAAAGGGGAGGATGACAGAGGGTTTAGCTTGGGTCTGGGGACCAGCTGCAGCCTTAGCTCTGCTGCCTGTTATGCACCCAAAAAACCATAGCTCATTCACAACCACTTTTTCCAGCCCACATTAGAAAACCCACACTGCACCAACCCTCCAGCCTGTGAATAAGGACTGTACAGAGCTCTCCCTCTGCCAAACATGCTTGCAAGCAGCCACGGACACATCCAGGGCTTAGTTTTCAGGAGCAAACCCTTGTTCCTCATCCCTCCAACTTTACAGCTAGCTAGGCAGCAGGAGGGGACAGGGCTCACCTGGACATCGCGAAGCAGCAGCTCCCCAGAGGGCAGGATGGTGGCCTTCCCACCACCACCCCGCACCAGTGCTCCCTCCCGGCTCCAGGACACACGAGGCTCAGGGACACCACGGGCAACGCAGGGCAGCAGCACCTCCAGCCCCTCCAGGACAACCAGCTCCAGCGGGCCAGCCGCGATGACGGGGGGCACTGGATGGGGCAGGAGGGCAGGGACTTGCTCACACCTTGACAGCTATGTTTGCTGTGAGGTGCTGGGGAAGGGGCTGAGCCAAGGGAGTGAGCACTGGGTCCCTGATTGCTGCAGTACCTTGCACTATCAGCCTGGTCCTCCCTGCGGCGGTGCCCGAGGGGTTGCGAGCCATGCACAGGTAGGTGCCTGCATCCTCTGGGGCTGCTCGGAGCAGACGTAGCTGCCCATTGGGGAACACCTTCAGCCCAGACCCTGTCGAGATGGGCAGGAATGAAGGGCAGGATGGGACAACACAGCCGTGCAGGAGTGGGGATGGATGATGTGCAGATTGCTTTCCCTGCAGAAGAGCCTCTTCCCAAGGCATCTCCATAGAACAGCTCCAGTGGCTGGCCCCGGTCGCTGCCACAGCCAGGAGCCAGGAGGACCCATGCACAGTGTCAACCCACACTCTTCTGGGATGCCTACAGCCCTCCAGCACCCAAATCTCACCCCAAACAAAGGCTGGCAGGTAGTGTGGTCTCTGCCAGCCTCCCCCAGGCTCCTGCTCACCTCCAGTGACTTCAACACCATCCTTCTGCCAGGTGACCTGCGGCCGGGGGACGCCTGTGGCCTCACAGGACAGCACTGCACTGGTGTTGACCATCACCATCACCATGCCAGGCAGGGGCTTCAAGGCAGGAGGCTCTGCAAGCCGCGAGGAAGTGCTGCCCACCAGGGATACCCTGTGCAGAGGGAGCAGGGCTCCCAGAAGTGGGACCCCCAGGGGCTATACATACCGTGCACCGTGAGCCAGAGGTGCTTTCGGGCCGTGCCAGCAGTGCTCCTTGCCGTGCAGGTGTAGCGGCCAGTGTGTGCAGGCAGTGCCTGCCTGATCTCCAGGGCTCCTGGAAGACAGCAGGTAGAGGGGAGGCAGCAGGGGGGCTAGCAGGATCCCTGAGCCCACCAGGGCTGCACTGCCCTGTGCCCATACCTCTGGGCAGGACGCGGTAGCCCCCTCCTCTGCTGCCCAGCTGAGCCCCATCCTTGGTCCATGACACTGTGGGTGGGGGCACACCAGAGGCATAGCAGGTGAGGACTGCAGGGGACAGTCGGGTGACAACCACATCCATAAGGTCATCAGCGATGGTGGGGGGCACTGGAGAGGAGAGGGAGGGAGGGGAGCAGAGCATGGCAAATGCTGAAGGGGATTCTGACCCCATGCACCTGGACACAGGTATCTCTATTTCCCTTTTTGCCCACCATCATGCTCCAGTCTCGAGATGAAACCCGACCACATGGGATGGGTGGAGCGCACCCACATCACTCCAAAAGTGGTGACAGACCCTGGGGAAAACCACCCAGCAAAACCCTCAGCCCCCAGGAGCTCACCGTGGACAGACACAAAGAAGACCTTGCGTGCCTCTCCAGCAGTGTTGGTGGCAATGCACTCAAACCTCCCCTGATCCAGGGCACCAGGGCTGACAATGAGCAGTGACCCCGAGGACTGCAAGCTGTGTGGGCAGAGCATGCATCAGGGTCACCCCGTCCCACAGTGAGCAGAGAGAGGGGCAAACCCCACCCTATGGGGGGACCCTTTGTTGTACAAGGTGCTGCAGGTACCTGTAGGCGCCAGGTGGGAGGTGCAGGTTCAGGGGGCGACCGCCCTTCTCCCACCTGATGAGAGGCTCAGGGAACCCCCAGGCATCACAGCCCAGCGTGGCTGGCTGCTGAGCCAGCAGGGTGAGGTTGGAGGGCCCAGGGGCGATGGCAGGAGGGACTGCAGGAGGGCACATTGGTGATGAGCAGAGGACAGCAGCACGTTATGGCACTGATGAGAGCAGCCCAGCAGCAGTGGGTTGCAGGGGGGTGAGACAAAAAGGGATACATCTGGCTCTCCCACTTACCCAGGATATGGAGATCCAGGCCTCGCCGGTCAGAGCCAGCAGGGCTGGATGCCATGCAGAGGTAATAGCCTGAATCCTGGACCTGGACAGGGTTGATTTGCAGAGAGCCTCCTGGCAGGAGCTGCAGCCTGAGAGGGAGAGCAAGGGAGCCCCGTGGGGGCTCTGCATGACCAGTCTGCATCACATGGGGACCAGTGGCTGGGGAGGTGACACGTGCCATTGCAGCTATATGCAGCTCATGCCACTGAGCTGGTGTAGGGCAGAACACAGCTCTTCACAGGGTGACAGTGCTGCCTCTGCTTCAGGCACACCAAACCACCTACTGATGTAGATGATGGCACAATCTGAGACCAGCTCTTGGTGTCACCAACGTGCAGAGCCTCATTACCTGTTGCTCCCAGGAAGGGGCAGGATCTGTCCATCCTTCCGCCACGTCACCCGGGGTGCAGGCCACCCCTCTGCCTGGCAGTGCAGCACAGCCAGGCTGTTCAGTGGTGCCCTCACCTCCTCGGGGCCAGGCTGGATCTCTGGAGCCACTGCAGCAGTGCCCAGAGAGGGACAGGGCTCAGGGACGGAGGATGCCAGCCCAGAGCAGCACTGAAGGCTGGGCAGAGTCCAGCCCTCCCAGCACATCAACTGACCATAAAACACCCCACAACATCCCACATCCCTGCTCTAACTGGAAGCAGCTGGCACTCAGGGCCAGCCAAGCCCCTGGCAGGGTGGCACTCACCGTGAACCTGCACCTGGACACGTTGGCTGGTGTTCCCCAGTGCGTTGGTGGTCCTGCAGCTGTACTCCCCTCCATCTGCTGCCTCCACTGCCTGGATCTGCAGGAAGCGCCCTCCTGCCAGGACCTGCCTGTGGCCATCCTCCTAAGGCCCCAGGGGACACTGTCAGCAGCTCTCCCTGATGGGGCTGCTGAAGGTGCATCCCAGACCCTCCCCATGCACCATCCCTAGTCCCATCACAGGCACCTGCAGCAGAGTGCCCTCCCGGTACCACTCGATGTGTGGGGGTGGCTCATCATCCTCTGGGCACTCCAGGATGAGCTGTCCCCCTGCCACAGCTGTAATGATAGGGATCTCTCCAACTCTTTTGGTGCTCGGTGGTGCTGTGGGACATGTGCCAGGTGAGTCAGGGTGTGCCACATGAATGGGACACTCCCATATCTGTCCATGCATAGCCCTCCACCCTGCAGGACCATCAAATCATGCTCCAGATCCCTATTTGGAGGCTTACAGCTCCCATCAATCCCAAGGAGCCCTCTGGTCCCCCAAAACTTGGTCCACCCTGCAGCACCACCTGCTAGCATCCTCCTTGCTGCACAGCAGAGGCCACACTACCTTGGATGTTGACATGGAAGCTCCTGCTGTCCTCCCCAGCAGGGCTAGTGGCCAGGCAGGTGTACAAGCCAGCATTGGACACCTACACAGCCAGGAGAGGGAAAAATTGAAGCATGAAAAGAAAATGCAGGTGGGGAGAAGCAAGCTGAGCCCATACCTCAGTGTTCTTGATGTGAAGTGTGCTCTCATTCCCTGACACGAGCCAGGGCCCTGCCAGCAGCTGTCCATCCTTCTCCCAGGTGACTGTAGGCATAGGGACACCCGTCACCACACAGGTCAGCTTTAGTGGGGTGCCCACAGTGATGGACATCTCAGTGGGATGGGATGCAGCCTCGACACGTGGTGGCTCTGCAAGGCACACAGCAAGGCAGGAGGGCTCGTCCCCTCATTGCTCCCAAAAAAACTGGCTAAGTTGCCATTCCCAAATCCCAGGGGATGACACACACCTGTCACCAGGAGGTGGAAGGCTTTGCTGGCCTCCCCCACCTCATTCTTCACCAGGCAGGAGTACACCCCTGAATCAGCTGGCCCTACAGCCACAAGGCTCAGCCTTGGACCACTGGACACCTGGTCACTCTGCTGCCCCAGGGGCTTTCCATCCTTCAGCCAAGTCACTGCTGGTGCTGGGGATCCAGTGGCTTCACAGGTGAAAGTGACATCAGACCCCTCAGCCACCATCTGCTCCTCACTGCTCTTGGGGTTCTCCAGGATGGGGGGAACTGGAGAGGGAAGAGTTTCCTTTAGGGGGGTTGTGGGAGAAAAGGGTGGTCCCCAGGCACTAGGGGGGTTTGGGCAGTTCCCTGGCACCCTGCAAGAATGCAGAGGTGGCTCAGCCTTCTTGCAGGATGCTCTAGCACTGCTTTCAGGCTCATCCTGCCTTGTTCCATCCCCTCCAAGCCCACCCCAGCAGCCAAGGGATAGCTCAGGACCCTGCTTGGAAACGGGCTGCAATGCACAACATGTGTTCTGCCAGAAAAATCAGTGTCTGGGTGCCCTCTCCCAACCCCCAAGCTGCTCCATACCCTGTATCTGCAGGACAAAGCTGCGATCAGCCACCCCTGCCTGGCTGGAGATGATGCAGGTGTAGCGCCCAGCGTCAGAGACCTGTGCCTGGGAGATCCTAGCCCATGGAGTGGAGCACAAAGATGGGGAGGAGACATCAGCTCCAGGTGACCCCCTGTCCCCCAAGGTCTCCACACTGCCACACAGCCACCTTGGGGTGCAGCTGTGTCCATCCCAACATGCAAACCCAGGTACCAGCCCCAAACACTGCGGCCGAGCAGTGCTCCAGGGTCACTTCTCACCGGAGGACGTGCCCAGATGAGAGCAGGGTGACATGAGGGGACAGACGGAGGGGCAGCCCATCCTTCATCCAGCTCACATGCAGTGGTGGGGACCCCCGTGCCCAGCACTCAAGTGTCACCACCGCAGACTGGACTCCAAGGACCACCTCCGAGTCGTCAGCACCTCTCTCAATGGCAGGAGGGACTGGGCGAGGGGACAGAGGGGCTGATGGGGCTGTTGGGGGCAGGTGGCCCTGGCACTGCCCCACAGGTGGGAGCCCCTCAGTGTGTACAGCAGCGTGTCCTCCCCCACGCTGTTTCGGGCCAGGCAGGTGTATGCCCCAGAATCAGCAGCTTGGACCCCCTCGAGGAGCAGAGAGCTGCCATCCAAGGACATCCTGTGTGGGGAGGAAGAAGCAGTGACCTGTGTGCCTATCCCTAACGTGCCCCATGGGGCAGAAAGGCTCTGTGCTTGGTTGCAGCCCAGGCTGTGGGTTTTGGGCATGCTGCAAGGCCTGCCTTGCATCAGCTGGGACCCTGTCAGAGTGACACTGACCATCCCAGACACCAGGGTTTAACTCAGGATGATGTTCTCTCAGCAAAGAGCTAAGATGAGCATGAGCATGTTCCAGCCCAAGCAGGGCAACAGAGAGAAGCAGCAGCAGAGCTCAGCCTGCCTTGCACAGCAGTTTTGAACATAGGGAAACTAAGACATGGACAGGGCTGGACTGTGGCTACCCCCCTGGGGTGGTCTCCCCCACCCCAGACTCACCGGGTATGTGAAGAGGGCTGCAGCCCCAGGGGCTGCCCATCTTTCAGCCAGGAGATCTGGGGTGTGGGCTGTCCTTCTGCCTGGCACTCCAGCCTCACCCTGCTGCCCTCCAGCATGCTGTGCTCACTGGGGACTCCTGCACTGGTGATCTGGGGGGCAACTGCACCGAGAAGAGAGGGATGCTGAGGGAAAGGAGAGGGAGGAAGGCTCATCTCCAAGGGACAGCCCACATGGAGCTGGCTGTCTCTGTGAAGCCTTACCTCGCACCAGCACCTTGAAGTCCTTGCGTGTCTCACCCCCTGGGCCCCGTGCCAGGCAGGTGTATTGGCCCTGGTGGAAGGGCTGGAGGGGGCTGAGCTGGAGTTGGCTCCCCCCAGACACCAGGCCCTGCTCAGGGCTAGTCTCTGCAAGGAGACAGAGCGAAGGGGGCTGAGCAATGCTCCTCTGCTGAGCCCTTCCCAGGCTCAGTGTCATGCTCACTGCTTCCCTCCCCTGGGACCTGGGTTTGGAACATTGCTAAAGCCGAGCACAGTCTTTGCACCATGCACTGCTTAAGTTTTACAGGAGAAAAGGGCCACGAGTTTGAGGGCAAAGCCCTGGCCCAGCAGGTACCCCAAGGGCTGCTACCTAGGGAGCTTACCCCATCCCTCCATCACATATCATGCCCATATCCCATTGCAAGACTCAGGAATGAATCTGAGGTTTCTTAAAAACATGCAGGGGAAATGCCAGCCCCTTTGTGCTTTGCCTCCTTCTTGTGAGGCCCTGAAGGTCTCTTGCAGCAGGACTAGAAGTGGGGAAACTGAGGCAGGACAGCCTCAAGGCAGCAGCAGCAAGGCTGGGCATGGCAGCCTGGTATGGCATGTCCCTGCACACATACCCAGAGGGCTCCCATCCTTCAGCCAGGTGACAGCTGGCATGGCCATGCTGGTGACTTGGCAGGTCAGGATGAGGGATGTCCCCATGTCAGCTTCGAGTGTCTCCTGCTGTGGGTCTGGGACGCCTGGGGGTTCTGAGGAGGAGGAGCAGAAAGGAAGGATGTGAGCAGGACCACACAGATCAGGGTCTGCTGTCAGCTCCTCAGTGTGTGCTCAGGGGGCAGAGCTGAGCCCTCACCATGGACAGTGAGGATGAAGCGCTTCTCGTCCTGGCCAGCCACATTCAGTGCCACACATGTGTATGTGCCTGAGCTAGAAAGCTGGAGGTGAAGGAGCTGCAGCACCCGTGAGCCTGGAAGAAACAGCAGGGACTGGACAGGCTAGAGCAGGACCAGTTCTGGGCCACCAAGCTGAGTGGTTGCCCAGCAGCTGGCCAAGCTCCATGCAAGAGTCTGACCATCCAAGTCTGTCTTTGAGGTCCAAGACCTCGCTGTGCACAGCAGGAAAGGGTGCTGAGCTCCTGGGGAGTGTGGAGTCTGCAGGATGCAGCCCTTGGTCCTGTCCAGAGGTGATAACTCAGCAGCACATCGTTAGTGTGTGATGGCTGAAAATCTGAGCTCAAGTCTCACATGCAATGTCCAGATAGGAGGATTAGGAGACTTGGAGCTCACCATCAAGAGCTGAGGTCTTGGCCACAAGTCTATCATCCTTGCTCATCCCAACATACCTGGGGTGACAGTCACCTCCTCACCGAGCTGCAGGACATGTCCATCCTTGTACCAGGAGATCTCTGTGGTCGGGTGGGATCGGATGTCGCACACCAATGAGACGCTACCGTTGACGATGCCTTCGATGGTTTCGGGGTTTGTGCCCACCATCCAGGGAGCTTCTGCTCCAGTGCATCCCAAAAGACAGTGCCATAGGGGAACCATCACTGTGGAGACTGAGCTCTCCCCAGGAGGAAACAAGCACAGAGCATTTGCCTGCTGAGAGCATGCAGCACCTCAACCTCTTTGCACAGGGTAAGCGTGACAAGCACGAGGGGACAGAGCTAGCCATGCAGTTCCAGAGCCATGGGAGACTCCAGCTGGTGAAGGAGGTGTGTAAATCAGCAAACCACAGAAGAGGAGATGTCTTACCCTGCACAGTGAGGGCAAAGTGCTTCTCAGCTGACCCGGCTGGGTTCTCGGCCATGCATGTGTACCTGCCAGTGTCTCCTGCCTCCACTGCCTCCACCTGCAAAGGGGGACCAGAGGCCCACTGAGGGCTGCCCCAAGCCAGGGAGCTGTTTGGGTCCCATAGGGACCTCAGCACCTGGTGAGACCAGGGCAGCCTCCTTCAAGAGGAAGGAGTGCCCCATCCCCCCCATCCGATATCTCCTGTGTCCCTCCCCAGCACAGCCCAGTGGGACACTGACCTGCAGGACTGTGCCACCTTCCAGGAGCTGGTGCCGTGGACTGACCACAATGGGGAGATCATTCCAGAGCCAGGACACTGTGGGCATGGGGTGCCCAGTAACTTCACACTTGAAGCGGATGGTGCCATTGACGGTGGTCGTCACCTCCTCAGCCACGTCCTCTGTGCCACCATGGATGGCTGGGGCAGCTGGAAGAAGGTGGTTATGGGGCTGCCATGTGCCTCCACCCAACATTCCCCCAGCTCCAGCTCCATACTCACTCAGCACCTCCAGCTCGTAGTGCAGGCGATCCTGTCCCGCAGCGTTGGCTGCCTCGCAGGTGTACCTGCCTGCGTCCTCCTCCCGCACCGCCGGCAGCTGCAGCACTCGGCCCCCTGTGGTGCAGGGCAGGGGACAGGGAGGGGTCTGTGGAGTGTCATCTCCAGCCTTGCCATGCACAGACCCCTCACAGGTCCCACAGGTGCTGTGCATGCTGGCAGGAGCAAGGAGACAGGACCCAACCTCCTCCGTGCTATGGATGCTCTCAACACACAAAGCTACTGCAGGACTCCCCCAAACCTCGCAGGGGAGGTCCATGCCTATTACCTAGCAGTATCAGCACCCCTGGGCCAGGGGAGAGGGGCTCCCCATCCTTGTACCAGGTGAGCTGGGGGGGTGGGATGGCACTGGTGTCGCAGTAGAGTGAGGTGGGCTGGCCGAGGACAGCCTGCCGGTGCTCTGTCACCTCTCCATCCTGGTCTTCCTCCCGGTAGAAGATCTCAAGGGCTTCTTTGGGGCTTGTCTGCTGCTGGAAGAGGGGGGGCACTGGGGGAACAGGCTGTGGTCAGCTGTGGGGAATGGGGATTTGCACCATAGGTGCAATCATGGCATCTGCCCATGCCTAACCAGATCCAAGGAGATGCTGTTTTCCAGCAGATACAAACTTTTT